GGACAGGAAGCCCTGGCGCAATATGGTTCATGGGGTCACGAAGAGTCGGACACGACTTAACGACTGAACAACAACAAAGTTTGAATATATGAATATATGAATTCATTTCATTATATATTTTGGAAAGCTTAAATTGGTATTGATGCAATTCAGCCCAACCCAAGCAAGACTGAGTGGCTCTGGGTTTTTGGACCTCCTGGTTCTGGGGACCATCCATCTTTGGTTGTGGATGGAGTGGCACTGCCCCAGAAGGACCCGGTGCACAATCTGGGGTTCGTCCTGGACTCACAGCTCCTGCTCAAAGAGCAGGTGGTAGCCTTGGCTACGAGGGCCTTTGCGCAGCTTAGGGCTGTGTGTCAGTTATGCCCATTCCTGGACTGGAGGGCCCTACTCATGGTCACTCATGCCCTTTTGACTTCCGGATTGGACTACTGCAATGCACTTTACCTGGGGCTGCCCTTGAAGAGCATTTGGAAGCTTCAAGTAGTGCAAAATGCAGCAGTGCAGGCAGTGACTAGTGCCAGTTATTCGGCACATGTCACACCACTGCTCTGCGAGCTGCATTGGCTTCTGATGTGCTTCCGGGTACAATTCAAGGTGCTGGTTGTCACCTTCAAAGCCCTTCAAGGCTTTGGACAGGGTTACTTATAGGATGGTCTCTCCCCAATTGTTTCTACCCATCCTATCTGATCTGGCAGGAACAGCATGCTCCGGATTCCATCAGCTAGGGAGTGTTGGCTGGCGGGGCCTAGGAGAGCCTTGTCTACTATGGCACCCGCGCTTTGGAACATCATTCCTCCTGAGATTAGATTGGCCCCATCCCTGTTGGCCTTTCGTAAGGCCTTGGAAACTTGGCTTTGTGCTTGAGCCTGGGGCCCTGGATGTGGATTAGAGCCCATCTGCTAGTTGTGTGGATGATAGGATAGATCGTACCCAGCTGCTATGTGTTTTTATTTTTTGTGTTTTTATTTGTTTTATTGTAAGCCGCCTAGAGTCACATAGAAGTGAGATGGGTGGCTAGATAAATCAAGCAATTAAATAAAAAAATAAAAATAAAATTCCAAGATATCCTGAACTTGCAACCAAAGGGCGAAAGGGAGGGAGGGAGAGGTCTGTGGCCTCTATCATGCAAAGTTCAAGAAATTCAAATATCAGGAAGAGTTAAAGAACTAGGGAGTTGGGAAAAGAAGAAAATAAAAGGTTCTTTGACAACATTAATGTAAAGATAAATATTGTCAGGGGCATATGAATGTAAACTTTCCAGTTGACATTTTCAACCTGCCAACATCCAATCAAGTTACTCAACCTCAATGGCAAAACAATTCTGGCATGAAAGCTGGTTTCGTGGCTTTGGGCCAGTCCCTCTCTCAGCCCAAGAAAATAGGAGGAAGAAATAATAGGTATGTTCACCACCTTGAGTTATTTATAAAAAATAATAAAGACAGGATAAAAAATCTAAAACAAAAGTGTGGTTGTTCAATGATCTAGGTTCTCCCTTTTACTAATTCCTAGTTCTGCCTTTTCTAAATCTATCCTATTGTCATAGCATTCTAAGACCCATACATTATTTCTGTCAAATGTAAATGTCTGTCTCAATAAAAGGAGATTCCATCTGTATCTAAGGATCCTCAAACCATTTCTAACACTTGGTGTCTTATTATCTTTTTGATTCCCCAAAGCAAGCCTCTTCCACACTGTATCTGATCGTGGGCAGGTTCCGGACTGGATGAAAATTTCTTTCACAGAACTTGCTAGAGGTTTGCTTTCTCTTCTTCTTATCCCTCCTAATCCACCCTGGTGTGCAAATGTAATGCAAGCATTCTGGAATATCCAGATGTTTCAATGATGCCAAAGAAAATGTGTGTAACTGAGATAGTCTGCTGGCTCTTCATGCATGAATGTTGCCCATTAATTTGCATCCATGAGCTCAAACAATTATGAAAGGCAACCTTTCAGTTCTTCACCGCCCATTTTTTATTAGGTGGAACAAATTTTTCAGAAGACGGGGTAACAAAACAAGTGCTAGAATTTTAAGCACTTCTGCTCTCTTTTTCTCTGCCACCACTCTTCAGTGCTAGAGAAACTCTAGTATTGAGAAGATGGTGTCCTCTACCTGAGGTAGCATGATTTGTTAGGCAGCATAACAGTTTAGGGATGTGGTACACCCAGAACAAATGGCCAGATGGCTGTCATTGCTGCCCCTTGCCAGGCCAAATCCTTGCTGTCTGAGGAGATAACCTCATCCTAGCTTGTCCAAACACAAACCTAGAAGAATAACACCCCTTTTCTTTCTGTGCCTTTGTTTATCAACTGCATTCCTATCCTGAACTCCAACCTGTAAATAATTAGAACATACTCATTTTTGTCATATCATACCTGCTTTCTCACTGGCACTAGCTGGGACTGGATATTAGCTGAGGTTCTGTGTCCCCGGGAAAGTAAGAGCGTTCTTCAGCTTGCTCCTCTGTGCTGCCCTACCAGAGTGTGTGTCAGGGAAGGAACCTGTTCTTCCTTGTTTGCTCTTCTCTTTATCTTCTGTTTGCTCTCCTCCCATTCAAGCTTCACTCATGTGTGTGCATCTGCAAAGAAAAATCTCGCCTAACAAGCCAAGCCACTGATTTCCAGAACTACTGAATCATCAAGGCCAGGCTTCAGTGAAAGACAGCCCAGGACAAAGGGACCACAACACCCCATCTCCATGAATATAGAAGTGGATGTGTTCCACCTCATCTTCAAAAGACGGTCCCAATAGAGTACATTATAATCACCCTGGAGGTCACTGTAAGATGTCTGAGAGTTCCATCTACCAGCAAACTCAAAAACCTGATTCTGATTCTCTTACCACATAGCTGTCATTCTGCACATTCTCCTTATTTTTTTCTATGAAAAATGGAACCCTTTCCCACCTTCACAATCAACCTGCCAAAATCAGATTCTGCTCTGACCAACAGTTCAGAGATGAAGTGTCTATTTACTAACCTTGGATTCCTTCAGTAAACATTCTCTGATCATTCAACAATGTGGATTTTGGCTTCTATGGAATCCCATGGTGTGTTTAATTATATTAAAAACCCTTTTCGTTACATAAAAAATAAATTAGAAATGTGAATGGTACAGCAGGGTTTATTCTTGTATCTCCAAGCAATGTTTTATAATTTGAAACTTGGTCATATGAACAAGGATCAAACTGCAAAACAAATATATAAAAGAAGAGTGGATGTTTTGAGAGGAAGACCAAGGAAGTCTTGGTTGAATAGAATTGATGATATTCTGAAAAAGAGAGGGGCAAAAAGCAATGGTTGAAGAAGTAGATCTATATGGTGGAAGCAAGAATGGTTTGCAAGGATAGAAAGGAATGAAGCAGCATAGGGCAGATGTGCATTTTATTATTTATTTATTTATTTATTAAATGTATATGCCCGCTAACTAGTATAACGGGGAGAGCAGAAAGTGCTTCTTGAGTGCAGGAACAGATGATATCATCCTTCACCTATGCTCAGGCTACCACAAATGTACCCCACCGCCATATTTTCTGCAAAAATGCAGTTTTCCAACCAGGGCTCCTTTAAGCCCCTCAGAATAGATGGACTGCAGTGCTTCCTTCCAATCTAGTGACAACCCCAGTTCAGACTGGTTACAATTCTTGGCACGCCTCCTTCCATCCAGTGGCTGATTGCTGCCCTGTGCCACCATTTCGTCCTGGGCTTCTGGGCTGTGGTGTTCTCAGCTGGTCATAGCTGCCATTTTGTTCTTATTTTGCAGTTGATACAACAACGATGGCTAAGTCAATGGACCTTCCTCACCCTGTCTCTTCCCTCACCCTCCGAAAGGTACACATGCTCCATTCAACCCTTACATCTCCCAGTGTGCACACTTTGTGTTTCTGCATTTTAAACAAGGTTGTCTGCGAGGAATGTTTTTTAAAAAGTCAAGATGATAGCCACATAAGTAGGATCAAAAATCTGCCTGTTTTTTATGAGTGTTACACCATCACGACCACCCTCTTGATTTTTTTTACCATACTCTGTGGATACCTCTGTGTGCTTTACAATTATCTACCTGATCCTTATTTGCCTCGTTTTCTTTTTCTAGGTTAGATGATCAATTGTAGGAAGAGAGCCGTGCTAATGTACGGTAGCCAAAAATCAGAAGAAGCATGGTAGCACTGTTCCAGGTTAACAAACTTTAGGACAGGTAGTCCCAAGTTTAAGAACGAGTTCCGTTCCCAAGGTCTGTCCTTAAATCGAATTTGTATATAAGCTGGAATAGTATTATTGTATAATACTATATAAATAGTATTGTGTAATGAACTCAAACCATTGTGCATTTAACTCAAATCATTGTGTATTTAACCTGAATTTTGCTATAATAGGCTCCATTCTTAACTATGGGTTGTCCATAAACAGGGTGTTCTTCACCTGGGGACTACCTGTAAACTTCGTGAACGTACAATCTAAGCAATGTAACTCTTCTTCATAAGAAAGTTTTTATTGCGAGATGTGTAGTTTTAAAAAAAAAAAGTCACATGCAATTTAGTTTAGGAGTTTCCCTATGCAGAGAGTAAAGTCTTCTGCCACTATGTAAAAAGATAGGACGATACATCAACCACTAATTGATATTCTGGTCAGACTCTGGTCCTGAAGGGGGATGGCACCTTCACTTGTGAGTGAATTGTGACAACTTGATTTATTACTTCCTCATCCATTCATTCATACTCTCACTCAGTTGATGTTTCTTCCTCTGGAAGTTAGTTTATCTAATGTTCTATTCTCTTCCTTAACTTTGTATGCCATTCTTTCATTTCGTTAGGCAGTTTTTCAGTTGTAGACCTATCCTGTCCATCCATTCCTCCTGCAAATCATTCACATAGTCATTTCTATCTTTTCAAACATTGCTAGGTGTGACTTTTCTGTCCTCTTCTAGCAGTATGTTCAGACCGCTCCACGGGCCATACTGACAAGTGTGTCTTTTATTATATTTGAGAGTATTATCACCAGAATCCAGACTGAAAATGCAAAGAGTGGAGATGGGTCTTTCCCAAAGAACTTCCAAGAGAAATATTGGGAGTTTGGGGGGGACATGATGGAGGTGGTTTCAGGAGGTTGTTGCTATGGGGAAAGCTTTGAAAAGCCCAACTCTTAATGCTATGAATTTCCGCTGGCTGGGCTACAGGTGGCTGGGCTACGTTCCCAAACTAGGAAACATGGATTCCAGCAACTTCTAGAATCTGAAATTGAGGCTCTTTTTAGGGCACATGAGAAAACTTCAAACACTAACTGAATGGATCAAATGCTAATTTAGGCATACTATCTAAACTGGCTTCTCCATATCAGGACTTATTAGAATAAATTGGATTGCAATACCCAGAGCACCAAATCTGCCCATTTATTAGATTTAAGGAGGCTCAGTCCTATGGGGAAAAAAAAGACACGACACTCATTAGGTTATAGCAAAGTTTGGCAGTCAGAATTCCTGTTTTGTTTTGCTTTTCCATATTGTGTCAGGTTCTTACATTGTTGCTAGAATAGTAGGATTTTTACCCAAAGAATTCAGACAATATTTATTAAGAAGTTTTGGAGATTTTTTTTTTAGTAAATTAAAAACCTGTTTCAAATCAACACATAACAGATTGCTCCTAACAGCAAAGATTATGTGGGTTTTAGCTGGCTCCTTATCCATCTTCCAAATTCCCACCAGCCAGTCCCTGAAAGGACAGCGGATCCTTCTAGAAGGTTCTCTGGCCTAGCTTGTCATCATTTCCCCAGGCTTTTAAGAGATGTCTTGATTGGTTCCTGAGAGAAATAAACAAACAAACAGATAAATGCTATTCTGTGTGCCAACAAAATTGTAGCTAAAGCAGGTCTTTCAAATGATGCCTATAAAATTGGAAGCCATTTTCAAAGGGGTTCAACCTAACTGGCAGGCCTTCATGGTAGGCCAGTTCAAGAAACAGGCATGGCAGAGATCCCAGGATGCTCTTCTTTGCAGGAAGGTAGAATCTTAAAAACCATCCTCTGTTCTACCTCATACTAAATAAGGTGGGGCTGAGTTTCATCTCCACGCTGCCCTCTTTCTCAGCACCATGCAATATTTTCTACAAGTCACTCTTAATGGCTCATTCATTCATTCCCTATGTCCAAGGTCTATGTTTGTTTATCCTAAGATCCTAGAGATCCTCCAGGTTGCTCTTCCAAAAAGGCCATTGGCATCAGCTTGGAGAGTTTCCATTCCACACAGTGAGGCTGAACCACAAAAGTGTTACTTAAAAATTGTTTGGAATCCCAGTGGAAAATACTGTTCAGAAAGAAGTCTACCCCCCTTTTCAAATCATCCAGCTGGATGTTGATTGATGGCCATTACTACAACCAAGTGTTAGAGTCCTACCTCCTGTCTTCCTTCTAGTCTGGTGAAACAGAATCACCTTCAGGTTTGTCTGCAGAACAAAGAAAAATGAAATATCAAGGTAAGGTGGACATCTTGATTATAACAAAAAAATCTGAAACTAAAAGATGGATCCTGAGGATTCCACAGATTCTGTGGCATAGCATATATTTCTTAAAATATATATCAAAAACTGTTGTTACTGTTGTTATCTTTTATGTGAGCAACAAAGGCATACATAGAGACCTCCTAAGACATAACTAGAGAAAGAAATCTTGGGATGTCATGAAAGATTCTTTCCCTACAAAATTTATCGCCAGCATTACAAAATCAAATTAGTATGTGGTTCATTCTCTCTTTTTTTTTAATATAATTTTTATTGAAGAATTTTTTTTACAAAGTTAAAAACCACTGAAAAATAAAAAAGAGAAAAGCGTGACCAATAACTGAACTTACGTGGCTGCGCAGCCTCTGAAAACTGCTTCTTCAAAAAACCACAGTGCTTGTCAGGCTCTTTATCCATATTCTGGAATGGCTCAATATTGAGGAGGAAGAAGTTCTGCTCAGTGGCATTATAGAGTGACCACTCAACCTCGGTGGCCACTGAGCCAGTGGGATTCCTGTGGAGGAAGAAAAGCGTACTGTATTGATGTTGTCCTTTTCCAAAGAGGCTGACATGAGAAACGACACCCAAGGGAAACTCCCAGACATAGGTCGTTAGCAAAGGACCCTTTCTAATTCTATTTGAAAGGCTTAATGAACCCTGCTGCCAACTCTCCAACCAGCAGAGGCCTCTGAGGAACTTCCCCATCCCTCCCTCGATCCAATACCATCCATGATCACCTTCTAGTTATGACCAGACACACAGTTTTTCTCTGCTACTTGCACACAGAACCAAAGTTAAAGAAAAACTCTACTTTGCTTCTTACATCAAACCAATTGCCATACAGATCTACAACTGGTAGGTGGCATATGGTAATATAGCTCCAATAACAACTGAAACCCCATGGGCTGGAATAACAGTGTCTGGAAGCTTGTTCATGGTCTCCCCCACCTATCCCAACAGTTTGCCTAAAGCAGTGTTGTCCAAACTTGGCCACTTTAAGATGAGTGGACTTCAACTCCCAGAATTCAACACTGGCCTAAAGGGACAATGCATTACATTTACGAACACGTAGTACGTTCAAAACACAGTTCAAACTCTCGCTCTTGATACGGATGCTCAACCACAGCAGCCTTGCAAAAAGGTCTGGCTAGTTGAAATCTCTTGTGTCTCCTCCTTGCCGATCCAAACCCGGGCAAGCTCCTTGTAGACTCTTGAAATCTGCCAGTCCCAATCCACTCCCCCATTCCTCACACCCTGCATCTTGTGAGTTCTCCCTTTATCACGTACTCCTGTGCAGTCCTTCACTCATTCTCCTAACTGTACACTAATGCTTTGTCTCTTACCCCCTTTTGTCTTCTTTATTCTACTTACAGAAATAACATACTCTGGAATATGTGTGATACCCCTGAACTGCTCAAGAAACGGTTGCCTATAAAGTAACATAATTCACAGTCCTGAAAATGTCAGGGTTTTTTCCAGGGTTTATGAAGATTCTCAGCCATCCAGGTGGAATTGTCTGGAGGTTGAGTCATGGCAACTGGACTTCTTTCCAGTATTAACAGAACCTACAAATGTAGGCAAAGGAATAGCATGCATTCCTTTATTTAAATCTAAAGAAAGCCCATCTATTGAACGGGATTTAACGGGACTTTCTTTGGATTTGAAATACAGGTAGCCCTCTCTTAACAACCATTCAAAGTTACGACAGCGCTAAAAAGTGACTTATGGCTGGTGTCCAAAGGTACAACCATCACAGCACCCCCATGGTCACATGATTGCGATCCAGGCAATTAGCAACCAGCTCGCACTTATCACAGTTGCAGTATGCTGGGGTCCTCTGTTCACCAACTGCAACCTTCCCAGCCAGCTTCCAGCAAGCAAAATCAATGGGGAACCATGTGATTCACTTAACGACCATGTCATTCGCTTTATTACCACATGATTCATTTAACAACCATGGTGATTCGCTTAACCACCACCAGAAGAAAGGTCATAAAATTGGGTCCAGTCCCGTGATGATCCACTTAAAGACCAGATCACTTAGTGGTCTAATTTCTAGTCCCAATTGTGATCGTTAAGCGAGGGCTACCTATACAAGTTGAAAGAAACAAAGTGAACCGCTTACCCAGTTCTGGCAAACTGTGCCCAGTAATGCATCAGCTGACGGCTCAGCCTAGATTCAGCCTCTGTGTGATTGACAGCCAGCACTGACTCAAGGGTTCCAAAGATGTAGGCAATCTCAGCAGCATGGGTTGCCCCAATCCATTCAGGCCAAACTGATCCTGAAGTGCGATGTGTGAATAAATAAGCGTATACAGGACTCCCAGTTTTTCTGATATTTCTTGCAGATTCAATCAACGGGCATGCAATTACATGATCTGTATAGAACTGTGACAGAGCTGAGCGGTATTGTGCTGGACCATGGTTTCCTTCACTGTACCTCAGCGCAATAGCCTGAACAAGATCTTCAGTTGCATTTTGCACCAACAGTCTTATCCCTTTCAGAAGCTGCTCCTGATTGATTAGACTGTGGTTGGTATCAGGGAATATATAAGGGACAAATGTAGCTGCTTCATCAGGGGTCCTACCTATGAGGATTGGTTTGACCTGAATTTGCCCCTCCTCCATGAGATTTTGTGGATCACCAAGCAAAAAATCGCCATCGGTGGTTGGGGTGAAGGGAAAATTCAGAAAGAAGCCGCCTTTGTAGAACATAGATATTTCATGGTGAGTAAATTCAGAAGCATTTTTTGTTTGCAGGCAACTCACCACGCTGGTATTATTGTCCTCAGAACAACCTAGCAGATGACCAAATGTAAGTGATAGCTCCCTGGCTTTCTCAGGACTCCTCCAAGACCAGAAAGCATTGGCTGTTCCACTCTGAATCACTGCCTGGGCAAAAAGGTCCTGGCTCTTTTGTGAGAGAAGATGGTAATTCACAGAAGATCCTCCAGCACTCTGGCCAAAAATGGTCACCCGAGAAGGATCTCCCCCAAAAGCAGCTGCATTCTCTTTTATCCACTTCAGGGCCAGCTGTTGGTCCCATAAGCCCATGTTCCCTGGAGCAGCTGGTGGTAAGTAAAGAAAGCCTAGGGCCCCCAGGCGATAATTGATAGAGACCACAATGACTTTCTCAGTAGCAGCTAAGGATGCCCCATTGTACAAGGGCAGAGCAGATGTGCCAATGAAAAATCCTCCTCCATGTATCCAGACCAGAACAGGCATTGGTGAAGAAAGTTGTGGGTAGGGCACCCAGATGTTGAGGGAAAGGCAATCTTCTGACTGTGGTGTTTTAGGAACCCATAGCTCTGCTTCAGGGACATCCCGAAAAACAAATTGAGGACAGGAATTGCCAAAGCTGGTGGCCTCTAATATTTGAGTCCATGGCTGATGTGGAAGAGGTTTCTGGAGGCGCAACTCCCCCAGAGGAGGCGCAGCATAAGGAATACCTAGATAGGCTGTCACAGATCCAAGGCCAGCAAAGAGTTGCTTGCCCATAACAGGGCCACTGCTAGTTATGACCACTGTGTCACCATTAGAAGCAGAACTGGAAGCTAGTGGAAGGAGGAGGAGGAGGCCGCACAAGAGAGAAGGGAGCAGGAGACCAGGCATTGCAACAGTAGGACAAGCAGGAAGTCCTAGAAAAAGTTACAACCAATATGAGATTATGCCATTTATAAGCTTATCTTATGCCAATTCATCATTAATTTATTGTGACGGTGGGATTTTTGCTGAGGACACCAGTTGTGGTCAGGTAATAGCAGTCACCTTTGCCCTTCTCCATGATATATCTCCAAGGTTCCAGAAGAACAGCTTAGAACTCCTGGCTTATGAATCCCATTGCTCAGGGAATGACACTTTTCACACAGAACTGCTAGTAGATCTTCTCCAAGGTTCCCAATACAGTGTTATTATACATTGTTTGTGTTACATGCATTATATCTTTCTAACCTATTCCAAAATCCCATTCTGGAACTGGGTGTATCAATTCCTATCTTCTAAATTATGGTTAAGATAGAACTGTAATAAATAAAAATGTAAAATGACCCTAAACGAACATTTTTACTGCTCCAATCCTGTTTTAAATCATCCAAATATACAGCTGAATCTCTGGGCAGTGCTTTTTAGTTTTCAACATCTGAACAAATTTCCAGTTTTCTTCTTCTTTTTATTGAGCCATAACACTGAAATTGTTCAGTTGTTGTAAACATTCCAAAACCCATCCCTGTGAACCTTTTGGAAGACCCTGAAAACATGGTTTTCCCAGCAACCTTGGGGATTCCATGGGGAACCTGCACAATGGTTATACTGTGTTTAGATGGATGTTTTTCTCCCACAAGCTTGCTTTTATTTATTGTTTAAGTTTTTAATACCTGTGACATTGTTTTAATGGTTGGTTATATGCGTTACATTCAGTGAGATGGGTGGCCATATAAATCTGTTAAGTAAATAAATAAATAGTTTCCACAGTGGAGAAAGTGATAGAGAAACCAAGCTTTCTACCACTGTAGTCCTCTCATAAATGAATGCTAACCTTGATTTGTCTGAAATTCCCTTTCCATGCCAGAGTGGCTCAACCACTGAAAAGTTAATCAGCTTTGGGCCTTTCCCCTCTTGAAATTGCCCACAGACAAACATTGACTGGTAATATTTAGATTCTGCTGGGTCCCGTGAGGTTGCCTTCATTTCATCCTCAGCCCTTGCATTACACTGCCTTCAACCATCCTCAGCTCTACCAATGTTTCACTCATGGTTTTACCACAAATCAATAACAACAGTAGCAGCTTCGAGGTATGTAAAATTTAAGACATTTCATTGCCCATGCTTTATGGTGACTTTTAAACAGGGGGATCAACCCAGCATTTCACGTTGGCATGCCCCCCTCCCCCAGGTCTTCAGACACTTTCTTCCATCACCATTCTGTTTTCCCTCCCCACCAAAAAAGCTAGGCACAGTTGTGGGGCCACTGCTGCACTCACTGGAGGAGCTGGAGTCATTAAAGGAGGTGGATACCATTAGATCTGCATCTCAGAATGCAATAATACGGGTCTGGTGGCCTTCCTCAACCCTCCAGAAGTCCACTGAATACGGCCATGGCCCCACAGATATGCCAAGCTCTTTTGATGGGAAGGAAAAGCAAAAGGGTGGTAGAAATTTAAAGAAATCAAGGACACAGAAATCAGAAATGAAAAACCTAATCCATTTACATAATCTATCTTTCTCCTTTTCAATAAGCTATTCACATATCTTTTTTAAATACTTGCAAACGACCTACATAGGCTGTTCTGCTTTCAGAGAGAAGGAAACAAAGGTAGAGGAATCCACCAACAGCTTCATTTAACCTGCCCTGCAGATGATAAATCAGGACACCCCCATCTGATGGCAAGCCAGAACAGGGTTAGTTGGACTAGCAATAGGGCAGCATATTTTATGTTGGAAGGGCTAGTTTCAGAGGGTTGCAGCATAGGCAGCAGCTTTGAGACCCATAAAACTGGAAGACCCCTAAGTAGATGGGCCATCCATAGGTGAGCAAGGTTGTGAACAGCAGCCTGCCTCCTTCAAGATGAATGGATTTCAGATTAAAGGTAGATCCAGCTGAAAAAATTTTGTGGGGGCAGGTTCATGGCATTCTGTCAGCCAACAGATGGACTGGACCAAGAGGTCCATTTTGCTAAGCAGCATTTCATTGATTGGTGATTTTTCTATCTAATATGTCTCTTCCAGATCCTTTTTTCATTTTTAGTTCTATGGCTATTCTATTTCAAATCCTTAGCTTTAACCTTTCATTTTGCAGGAATCCATCTGCAATGTTAATCTAGGGCTGTATAGGGAAGGGGCGACCTCCAAAGGTGGCATGGCATTAGGCCCCCAAATTCTTTAAACCTGCCCTGTGTGCTGATATTGTTTTCTATTAACTCATAGACAAGTGGATAACCCCTATTCAGCTGCGGGAAGAGTCCCTTCATTACAGTTGCCAATCAGCAAATGGATTTATAAGAGTTTCACACCTCTGGATCTTATCTGTCTATTTCTCTGTTTATTTAAAGGTATTTCTATCCCTCTACAGCCAAAAAAGACTCTTGGCTTGAATCTTATGCAAGCTGTTGGAATTCAGGTATGCATGAACACGTTTTTTGCACCTATAGACTGGCTATAGATGTGGAGATACTTCACAGACCCTACATTTATCTCTCCTTTCCTTGTCTTAAGGCTCTTCCCTGTGGTAGCAATAAAATGCTGCTAGCCAATGTGAGAGAGCCATTTTGGTGTAGTGGTGAAGGCACCAGGCTAGAAACTGGGAGACCGGGAGTTCTAGTCCCTCCTGAGGCCCGAAGCCAGTGGGGGGACTTGGGCCAGCCCCTCCCTCCCCGTCCTAGGAAGAAGAAGAAGAAGGAGGCAAGGGCAAACCACTTCTGAAAATCTTGCCAAGAAAACTGCAGGGCCTAGTCCAGGCAGTTGCCAGGAATCAACAATGACTCAAAGGCGCGCACACACACACACACACACAAAATCCAGTGTGAGAGCTAACCCCACTTCCCGCCGAAAAAGGAATAAATATAGGAAAAAGTCTTTCCTATAACTACATATAGTTGTGAAAGTTGGACAATTAAAAAAAGCAGTCAGCAGAGAACTAGACTCCTTCCAATTATGGGACTGGAGACAGCTCCTGCTTATACCTTGGAGGGCAAAAATAACAACAAGGAGATTTTAGACCACATCAAGCCAGAAATATCACTGGAAGCTAGAATTACCAAGCTAACGCTGTTTTCCTTTGGTTATGTTGTGCAATAACATTCCTTAGAAAAATAAATTATGCCAAGAATGGTTGGAGGTACTAGAAAAGAGACTGGCAAAGAATACCTTCAGGCAAGATTCTGTTTTAAACCTAGAAACGGGAAACGAAGTTGTAAACCTTCATAAAAAATGGAAAGTGCTAATCTGTAAAGTCTCCAAAATCAGGTACAACTGAAGAGATCAAGAGAAAGACATGAAGAGCACACTTTGAACCCCTGCTTTGCCTCTGAGTTAAGTAACTCAGGCTTTCTGATCACCACAGGACTTCCTAAATAAAGCTGATCTTTATTTTCCTTCACACAGCTTCAGGAATACTTTTGAGAGCAGTTACATGCCTCTAGCATTAATGTTTTCCCATCCAGATGTGCTTTCCTCCTCAGGAAGCTCTTGGCTGCCTAGCACAAGAATCTCTGAGGACCTCTCTGAAAAAGGTCTAACCTATTCTTTGTCCTTAAGGAGCAAGATGCTCTGCTTCCAAAACTGGACCAAAGTGTCAGTCATTCAGCCTGCCGTATTAGAGCAAAGCAAACAAAGAACGTAGAAATATTATCTTGCATAATGTATTCTCTACATTCAATACGATTTACTCCCTAGTAAGTGTTTTAGGAAGGCAGCCAAACACTGCAATTCTACCTGCCTCTACCTAGAAGAATCTCTCACTGATTTGAATGGGTCTTATTGCTAGATAAGGATGGTAGAAATTTGTCAGCACATGTCTGAACCTAGAAGAAATGGGATCCCAGCTGGAGATGTTTGTTCGCGTCTTCTTTTCTTTTCCACTCTCTTTCTCTGCGTCCCAAACTCCAGCAGACATCCCAAACCCTTTTCCTATTATGGCTGAAGAGATTGTTGCTTCTTTATAAGTGTTAAGCCCGGAAGAGGACTAACTGGCCAGAAAAACAAGGAATCCCTGTCCCTTTCCTAAAAACCATCTTCCACTTCTCTGAAAAAAGGATTTTTTAAAATTCTGCAGACTTACCCGCTTGTCAGATTTAACAGGACTACTTGTAAATATCGCCTTCAGCTCATTCCAAAGAGGGAAACAGTTTCAGGGATGACCTGCTATCTCACAAATAACTATCATGAAAAGAGCAACATTATATACTACAGGAAGGTGCACTTACCATCTGGATTCCTGCCCCTGTAGGGGGAGGAAGCGGCAGGTATTGGCAAAGTTGACTCCAAGGTTAAAGAGGTGGAAAAGCAAAGGCCTTCCTTGAAATGGGGTGCAGGGAACTCCAGAGCAGAGGGCAGCCACTATCTCTGGTATGCCAACCTACAGCCTTGAAAAGAGCTATTGCAACAGCTGCCTAGATTTCAAAGCAATTAAAGAACAGGAAAGCAAATAACAGATACCTGAGGCAGCCCTAAATTGGATCAGATCATGACCAGGTTTGGTTTTCCTGCTTCCTGGCGGGAATTGTTCCTACTGAGGAAGAAATCTTGAAGTATGAATATCCAAGTTTGTTACCAAAGGTTGACTAAGCTATAGGCAGTGAGCCACAGACTTAAACTTAGCCCAAATTAACCTGAGGGCATGACTTTATGCTGAGGTTGCACATTTATACCATGTACCTTGACTATTTCAAACAGAACAATAAGATAAGAAGGAAAAGAGCACGTACTAACTCACACAAGGAACATTTTAGATTAAGCTTCGATAACATGGGTGGATGGGGAAGTAGCACTCAGCGGGAATTTGGAATGACATAATACAATAAAGTGGGGAGAAGAAGGATGTCTATTACTGGATTCTCTGTCTGTATTCAGCAAAAGTTTAGACAGAGTGAAGGGGATGATTCATGCAGGAGATGCTAAAAGGTAAAGCATGGAGACCAGAACTTCAAGGTAAGAACTCCGTGTACTAAACTGGTTGTCCTACATGTGCACTCAGGAAGTACTGGGTTACCATGCTGTCTGACTTCCAATGTTGTCTAAGATTCAATTGTTAAGTCAGTCCATTTCTGTCATGGGCAGAAGGAATAACTGTGAGGAACAGGAGGAAGAGCCGCACCCAAGATGATGGTCAAATAAAAGAAATCTGAATCTGGGCCAGAATCCAGAGTGGTGCCACAGTGATGGTGGGCATAAGCACCCAATAGATGCCACGATGATCTCTCACATATTACATCATCTGCACAATAACATCAAGATGTGTGTAATGTTACTTTCCCCCTTATCCCCCACCTGAGGACACAAACTAGGCTACTCATTGAAAAAAAGGCAGTGTCACTTCTTTCCTGTGCAACCAAAATCCAATGAAGACCACTTTTTTCTTGGAATTTGAGGGCCACATAGACTTCTGGCTACTCATAGTTTGCATTTTCTTCTGCCTCAGACGAGATCAGTGTTTCTCAACCTTGGCCACCTGAAGATGTGTGGACTTCAACTCCCAGAATTCCCCAGCCAGCCATGGCAGCCATTAAGGGATTTCTTCAGCCAGCTTCATTTCCAATGAGTTTATGCATAGACGACAAGCAGCCAAAGGCTGCCATGCAGAAAAGCGCCCCCCCCCCATCAGTCTCTGTCTCATTTTGTGTAGCACAAAGTTCCTATGAAAAGCAGGAATTTGGATGCAGTTAGCAGTTGGCTATTCCAGGTTTCTGGAATACTTTCCTAGGGATGAAAAGTGGAATGAGGGAAACGCAATCAACAGCATTTTATTCATTACACCTTTGGCTACACATCCAGGACTAAAATATATCTGGGAGGCAGAACCAGTTTTAAGGAAGCTGCAGAATCAGGAATAATGTTAGAGATTACTTTGGATGTGGGAGAAGTGAGCTTGGTTTGGCAGAAATATATTTAAGTTTGCACTTTCAAACCAGCTATCACCTCAAATTACAAGCTTCTGAATTCTCTCAAGGCAAAGAGTCCCTAAAGTTGAAAACAACTCTTGGTGGCTTCATGAGCATGTCCATGTAATCTTCTTGGCAACAATACCTCTACAGCAGGGTTTCTCAACCTTGGCAGCTTTCAGAGGGGTGGACTTCAACTCCCAGAATTCCCCAACCCGCAAAGCTGGGTGTGGGAATCTGGGGGGTTTAGTTCCCCCCCCTCTAAACTGCCCAAGGTTAGAAAAACCCGCGTTGAGGGATTTTTGTCCAA